CCTTTGAAAACATCTGCAACATATCAGAAGTTCTCCGTGATTTCACTTGACAGTTATTTGAAGCACGGCTAGCGTCTGTTCGCTCTCGTTCTCTCCTGCTCTGTCAGAGCTGTGCTGGTGCTGAGGCTGTGGAAGATGGCAGCAGAGGCAGAAGGGTTAGGGTTAGTTTGCAGAAGTGCACCTGCAGGCCCTCCACAGCTTTTGTTGCCTGTCAGCAACACTAAGAGTCGGGGTTTCTTCTTCCCAACACTGCATCTGTCAGCTATAGCCTCTGTCAGAAAGATAACTGGACTCCAGGTTTACTTTAAGTGTTGCAGGATCTTGCTGAATGCTTAGGTGAAGCTCTTTCACCCTGACCTAGCACTTGTGCCTCAGGTCCGATCTGAGCTCTGTCTGACCCTGAGTCGGTCCAGCTGGGGTCGGTTCACAGCTCGACTGAGGGAGATTGGCAGCCAAGCAGCTCCAGTCGGCTTTGGCAGAGCACATTCTGTGCACACAGGTGCTCAGGAAGACTGATCACTGTTGATGTGTCTCAAATCCAGTCATCTGGCCGGCCCCCGTCTCAGTCTGGGCTGTCCCACCCAGGTAGGATGCCACTCAGCTCTCCTGCTGCCATATGTGCAGACGTTTTTAAGGTTCTGTTGAATGCAACAGCCATCAGTAGACCAGACCCTCATTCTTCACCACTGTGTGTCTGTCCTGGTCAGTTTGAGGGACCTGAGTCTGGTCACAGATTTGACTTTTGCATCTTGATCTGTTCTTCTACAGTCAGTCAGTGAAACTCTGCTGATGTAACACTCACATCAGTCTCCTCTCTGTTAGTGCGACAGTGAACACAGTGCCTGGTAATGTGGTCTGCGGTTCTGGAAAAGCTTGGTCAAGTCATAGAAAACAACTCCTGACGCACAAAAAGCAGCATTCTGAGATTCTTACAAGTGGAGGATGTGAATCCAGTGCCTGCTGCTGGTTTGATTAGGCTCTTTTATTTCATTCATCCTCTGCAAATCCACAACATTTAAGGACGCGCTGAGCTAAATTATGCCTTCAACACTAGTTTTACTGCAACTAGCTTGCTTTCATTTCATTTCAGTTTTTTAGGGTGCTCTGATCAATACTTCTACACGAACAAAAGATCAGACAGTTGCAAAGTGATGAACCTTCAGAGGAAAAACAACAACTCTGCAGGTCCCTGTCGCTCTACGACACACCTCGGTCCTCCAGGTTATTGTTTTCTTTCCCTGGACTGCAAATGTATTGTTGTAGTTGGAGCTCAGTCCTCTCAGCAGTGTCTGGGCCACAGCAGGCAGCTGTTGTCGTCATACACCTGTGATAAAGATCCTCAACGCTGAGCAGCAAAGCAAACAAAAGGCCGTGAGAGAGCAGCTGATGAACACAGACGGGCATTTAGTACCTTCAGAAGTAATGAAAACCAAACTAGGTGGGCACAAACACCACTTCAAAGAGATGATGTTACTGGATGAGGAAACATGCATCTGTTTGCTTATTTACACGAGTGAAACAAATTAATTTTTGCTGTAAAATGTCATCGATCTGGTCGACCTTTCAGCCGCCCTTGTGGGCTTTAACCACATCTGAAGCAGAGTCGAGTGCTTGTGTTGCTTCTGTTTACCTTATTTGCAAAAGATCCAAAAAATACTGTTTTCCCATAAGAAAAAGATAAAAACATGCAAAAACATTTTAATTTGTAATCCAAATTACACATATACAAGGATTCAAGATATTAGCATGTCATTTTCAGAGACCACAGCCAAAAGAACAACAAGAGAAAAATACAATCTGTACATATTTCAGTTTACAGTGAGTAGCCAGTTGGAGAGTACCAGAGAACACTAAGGCAGATCATCAGCAGACAGAAGAAACATTGCCTTTTGTATTTAATCCACCACAGCAGTATCAAGAAGTATCTGTGCTACAAAACAAGGACTGATGACTCCCTTTATTAGCAATCAGCTGCATAAGTTACATCGTGATAAAAGCAAAACGAAAACAGAAGGTATCTATCTAAAGTCTAGCATTACTGTACACATCTTCTCACTAGCTTTGGAAAACCAAACTGGCAAAAATATGCAGCTCTTTTGTACAGCTCTGGGTCTGACCAGCATCTAACAGCATCAGGGGAAACACCAACCGTACAGCCTCACTGTGATGGAACGCTGGTCCTGAGAATTCACACTTTCAAATTCAAGAGTTCATCCCTTTTGAAGCATGAAAAGTGCAGAGATTTCATTTAGCCATTACCACATTTACTCAGAGTACGAGATGTTACTTTATTTGGTCATATGGCTTGAAAACTATGAACCAGGATCCCTGTTTAATTGTGTTGTTACTGAATGGAAAGTGCACCGGCAGTTATTATGGGATGCTTCATTCAGTCATGTCCTTTAAAAAATAATCAGTTAGTGCTTTAGTTTATCCCACAAGTAAATTATGACGGCTCGTGTTTTGCAGCCCCGAGAAGCAAAACTGGACAGGTTCATGGTTCAGCTGATAACCAGCAGCCAGGACGGGTCGACTGCTCATGTCCAGTACAAGCAGTGAGTGTTACTCGGACAGAAATCCATGTATTTTCCTGTTACTTCTGACCATCTGATGAACAAAAATGTCTATGATGTTTAGAAAATTACACTAATTACCACAACTGGTTAAATTCTTTGGTCCAATTCTCAATTCTTCATCTTGCTGTTGGGTTTGGGTTTTCCTCTGCTGCTGGCTAAAACCTCTGAGAGGAGCCAAAAATTCCTCTATGCAAAAAAAAAAGACAACCTCCTGCCCGCTGCCAGAGAAAAGCCTGGCGAGGAGCTCAGACTGCTGCACAGTAACGGTCAGAGATGCTCACTGCGATGCCTCCTGACAGCAGATGTGACTGAGGTGGACCTGCACACACCAGGGAGCTCTACTGACGTGGCTCAACTCTGACAAAGGCCAAGACGAGCGGATTCTGGCTAAATGTTCCCAGCAGGACACGTCTGATTGAAAACAGTAATGACGAGCTGTGAAGTGCAGCTGAGAGTGTTTGTTTCTGCCATGACTGAGCTGCAGCCTCTGGTGGACGCGCACTGCAAAGCAACCTGTTGGCCTCGTCTGCTGGTGAGTGGTATGGGTCGGTCCACGGTCCGAGTCGGTCCGCGGTCCGAGTCGGTCCGCGGTACGAGTTGGTCCAGTCGGTTTGCGGTACGACTCGGTCCAGTC